CTTTCTGAGTTGCAAGGGGCCTGGTTGCGGTTGCCAGATAGGAAATAACAAAACACCATTCTGGCACTTTAAATATGTTGGGGTGGGGGCAATGAGATGAGTTTGGTGTTGATTGGTGAACATGTGTACAGGAGAGGAAGCGTTGGGAACCTAGCAAGTGCACAGCTGACTGGATCAGGTCTTTTGATATGTGGGGTTAACATTAAAAAAGGTTTTATTTTGGTGTACTAAAATGATACAACTATCATATATTTTGGCTTAAAAAAAATCTATTTATTGTATATTGTATGAAACCCTGAAACTTTTGTATAAATACAATAATTACAGTGTATCTGACCACACACGGCCTGGTGCCTATCTAAGCAGTCAACCAATCCTCATTTCATACACACCCCTAAGGTTAATTTATAACCTCCAATTAACTTAACATGTGCATTTAGACTGTGGTAGAAAACCTTGGGTGTGCAACAAAAAAAAAACAAAAAAAACATGCATGCACCTGGTAAAATGTTTCTAGCAACATCCAGCTATCCATTATCTTTACCTGCTTCTTCCTTATCAGGTCACGGGGGTCACTGGTGCCCATGTCCAGCTATCGCTGTGCGAGAGGTGAGGAACACCCTGGACAGGTCTCAAGTCCATCACAGGGACACATAGAGACAAACGAGACAAACGACCATTCACTCTCACTCACACCTAGAGACAATTTAGAGTTACCAATCAGCTTCACATGCATGTTTTTGGCCTATGGGAGGAAATCAGAGTGCCCATGCATGTACGGAGAGAACATGCAAACTCCACCCAGAAAGGCCCCCGAGCTGGGATTTGAACCCGTGACCTTCTCGCTGAGAGGCAACAGCTCTACCAACTTAGCCACTGTGCCGCCCTAGCAACATGTCAAAGTTTAAAAGTGTATTAGGTATGGTTGGTTACTGCGTTCTGATTTATTTACTAGATGCAATTGCTGAAATTGTATTATTTTTTTAATCTGTTCCTACAAAAGTTAAATAAGCACACAAAGGAATCGTACAACTCTCCAATAAAAATATAAAATTAAAATTCTTGTATCCTCTGCTAGACCCAGATAAACAAGGTGGTCATTTCAGGGCTACATGGTGGAACAGTTGAACACTGTTGCCTTGCAGCAAGAACTTGACTCCCAGCTGTTTGTCCGTGCTGATTTTTTAATTTTCTCCAGGTACTCCGATTTCCTCTCACAAAAAATATGCATGCAAGTTTAATTGGTGATTCATGTCCAGGCTGTACCCCTTCTCTTATTCTTTAACCACTGGGGATACACACTAGCTCACCTCGACTCTGCACACGATCTAGCATAGAAAATGGATGGCATTCACTTTAACATCAAGCTAAGTGTCATTGTGGTTCTTTTAGTTAAAAATACTGTTTGATAAGTAAATAGCAGTCTTCAAATCTTACCATTCCATACCACTTAACTGTGTCAAAGGTCTGGAGATAGTTCTGGATTTCCAAATTAGGCAACACCTGCTATCGCTCATTAAAGCATCAAATGGTAAATGGACTGTACTTATATAGCGCCATTCTATCTTATCAAGATACTCAAAGCGCTTTACAATCTGTGCCCTCATTTGCCCATTCATACAGCACTCTACTAGATCTCTACAAAGACTAATCTGTGCTTTATCACATCCATACACCGATGGGACACAGATGAGGCAATGAGTGGTTCAGTGTCTTGCCCATGGGCACTTCAGCATGTGACTGCTGGTGGAATCGAACCCCCAACTCTCCCATTGGAGGACAACTGCTCTAACCACTCATCCACAGCTGCCCCATCAAACAAAGCATAATGGTTGTAGTATTCCACCACACCATTGCACTTCCAGAGAATTGCAACATAAACTGATTCATCTTGTTTTGTATTATATTCATAGCAATATAAACTGATTGATGTAATTAAATATTAGTTACACTCCAGTGTTTTTCATTTACTTAAATCAGCGTGTAATATTTTAAAAGACAGTACTGTATTTTGATTCTAGATGGTACTTGTCTCTGCTGTGTGACTTATTTTTCAATGGAAGAACAGAAAAAGGAAATAATTTGATTAAAAACGAAGTTCAACCATAGAGCAATTGCAACATTTATTGAAGTGTTGGCTTTCTTGTATTGATTTTTCAACACATTACAAAAATACATATATGTTCAGAACAGCAGTGTACTATTCTGAAAACACTTTTTTTCCACAATGATGCACTCCCCTCCACTCAAAAAAAGAAAAGAAAACTATTTTGTACAAAGAGTGTAGGTGAAACTTGTGAAAAGTGAAATATGAAAATGTATTCAAAATTACAGTCATTAAGTGCCATGACTAGATCTTCAACCAATCATGAGGAAAAGACAGCAAAACATGATGTCCACGAAAATCTTGTAAAATTGATCAGGAACTTGAACAATTCCTGCGCAAAACAATTGTATTCCCCTGCCGAAGATTCTTCTTTTAAATTTAATTTCCTCATTTTTATTCACTTTGTTTTACATCCATGAAGGATAGCTTGAAGAAGGGCAAAAAAATTGAAAAGTAAAATAAAAAAATAGGCGAAAAAAGTACCAAAAATGGGCACCATTGTTGTAAAAAAAAAAAAAAAAAGGAGAATCACCTGCCATGATTTTGCAGTATTACATAAAACACTTTCCATACAGTGAACAAACAATCATACAGAAACACATTAATGTAGATAAAATCCCTCCACCAGGAAAATCATACAAAAACTGTTATGGCATTCAAATTATCCGAGAACATCGGTGAAAAAAAAATACTTTTTTTAACCATTTCTAACACTTACACAGAGTATTTCATTAATGGCGTACTTCAACACTGTAAACATATTGTCTGACTGAATGATTTGGGTCTCTGTGAGGTTTACACTGTCTCTGTGGCCTCACTCTGGGGCAAATAGTTCACCGTACGGTTAAATTAGCACCTTGATATTTTCACTCATGCATTACCGTATTCAAGCAAACTCCTCACAGCCAGTCGTATTTTTGTGTTAATTCACTAAAATATAACTACATAGCTTATGTGGAGCAATCTAGACCCAAAATGTTCTTTCTCAGATTAGCCAAAAATGTGCACATCATATTTTTTTGTTCCAAAAAAACAAAGTGGTTCAGATAAAACTTTGCAGGCCAAAATAGCAGGTCAAACTTTCATGTGATTATGATTTTGATGGCTGAGAATTGCAGTGCGAAAATGAAAGATGTAGTCTTATTCTCCTTTTCATGTGGCTTTGCTGTCTCCCTCCTTCTCGTGCTCAATCTGTCTCACTCTGAAGCTCTGTCATAAGATGTGGCCAGTAGATGTGCATTTTGGTACCAAAAAAATACATGTTTCATATGCTTCCAATTTCATTTGAATGACTATTCTCCCTAGTCAAGGTCTTGCTCTTTCCCTTTCTCACACATCTTCATTTCTCAGCTCCAATCTTTCATTTTTTGCTATAAGAATAGCCCCTGTTCAAGGTAGCTCGGCCATCCCCGAGTGCAGCTGTGCTCAAATTATCATAACTCATATGGCCCCCCCTTTCTTTTCTTTTTTTTTTTTTTGCACCAGATTCATTTCAGGATGAGCGATGCAGAAAATAAAAAATAAAATAAAAAAACGTAATCCCCGAAATACACGAACAGGCACACTGTCTCGAAATCTGTTACAGGGAGTTAAACCCATATCACTGTGTGCGGCAAATGAACAGGCTTCCTTTTGAAAGCTGCTCTAATGCATGTATCTGAGTTGGTGAACTGTGAAAAGACACCGTCAGAGAGAAGCTTAGAGCATGCTGCAAAGAGGAGAAGAACACACGGTAACACATACCGATATAAAAATTTCATTTGAAACCCTTTTATTTTTCATGGGGGGTCTTCAGGTGACACAGGAAGTCACGGAGACTTGCCGCATCAGACACCAGAAGGAGATGGGGAATAATTTAGAAAGTGAAGTAGCTTTTGTTCAACATAAATTTTGAGCACAAGAAATGGGATTTTGTTAAGAGGTAAACAGATGGACTTTGTAAAGTAAAAATGTCTGGCAGTTACATGTAGCATATACTTGTGGATGATGTGAGCAGCTGTTTTTCTTTTTTCTGATTGTTTAGATTTAGGCCATCTTGCATGTACAGTCAGGGCTTCTTTAACATATAAAAAAGAATATATTTACAAACCATAAAAAGGACTGTTCTTCTTCTCACATTAATTAATCACAAGTAGTCTTAACTTATTCAGCATATTAAATATGGTGGTTTAATCCTACATTAGGAATGTACCGAGCGTCAGTTAAGGGCATCTCCATTAAGTGCAACCTTTATTTATGTCCTTTCTGAAGCAAGGACAGCAATACAGTAACTGCATTTTGAAATCGTTCCAATTTGGCCATTTAAAAAAAAAAAGGAACTAACTCCCTGAATAAATTAAAACCAGATCTCTCAGATAATGCTGGATTTTTAAAACCCAATATGATGTTTTTTTTTGTCAGGCTGACATTCAGTGCTTTAGGCCTGTGTGAGGGAATGGATTGTAGTCCGCTGCTGCAGGTAACATTTTTTTTTTACTTTTAAAAGCTAACTGCTTCACACAAATTTACTCTCACAGGATAAGTTTCCTTAGAGGAAAAAAAAAAGCTTCAATGGTGACGTCTTTGCTGTTATATCATTTTAGAAAAAAAAAAAACACTTTAGAACATTTCAAAACTATCTCCATATGAAATCCCACAAAGATGTACCTGCACATGCCAAATATCAATACAAAAATCCAATAAATACAGAAATTATTGCACAGTAGAAAGGCTCCATAGATTCCTAACAGATAAAATCCTCCAACTGTTTGCCATGAAACACCAAGTTGGGCATTTCAGACAAAATGTTAAAGTTTCCATTTGGTAATATTCTCAGGTGGCAGTTTTTGTGACGAGAAAAAAAAGATAAACATCAATTAATCTTAAATTTGTTTTCTAGAGAAACACAATCCAGCCGAGCCCCATTGTTAAAGAAGTGGTTGTAGGAATTTTGAATGTGAATGTAAGTGTTTTCAAATGTTTGTATGTGTGTGGAAGAATGTTTGTGTGCACTGTGTTCTTTATAATATATGGTTGCTGGCTTAACCTCTGTCCGCTTGCTCCAGTTTGACCTCACTGGCCATCAAATGTTCACCATGCCATTTCTTCATGTGTTTCTCCAGTGTGCTGTAGACACTGAACGGCATGTGGCAAATGTCGCAGCGATACACCTCCTTCCCAAACTGGCCATGCGTCTTCATGTGGCGCGTCAGCTTAGAGCTCTGGGCACAAGCGTAGCTGCACAGGTCACACTTGTATGGCCGCTCCCCCGTGTGGCTGCGCCGGTGGACCGTCAGGTTGCTGCAGTTCTTGAACACCTTGCCGCAGTACTCACAGGTGTCGTTCCGCTTATCTTTTGAACTGGGAGGTCTACCAGGTCCAGGTCCACGCAGGAGATGAGGCGTGCTGCTTCCACTGTGGCCTGAGATGCTGCCACCTTCCATCAACTCCCCTGGTGGGGTAGAGAAGCGGAGGCTTCCTGTTTCTGAGGAGGAGTGCTCAGATGAGGTGCCGAACGGTGACTGACGGGAATCAGTGAATCCCAAAAAAGGTTCTCTGATGAAGTGGCGTGAAGCAGCATAGCCAGCCAGGAGCTGAGAGTAAACATTTTCTGGAGAGATGATGGGTATGGTTGGAGGAAGTTCTAGCGGTTCTTTCTCTATCTTGATCCTCTTGTTGTTGGAAGGGCTTGGGCTGGTGATAGGAGTAGGTCGACGCTGGAATAGGCCAGGAAATGCCTCTGCTTCGTTTAAAGTAATCCTGCCATTCGTCAGATGCCTTGTCCCCACTTGCTGTTCTCTTTCTCTGTCTGGTTCTTTTTCATTTTCTCTTTCGGCTTCATCCCTCTCTCCCCCATTTTCATTAGGTTGTCTCTCCAGGTTTCTCTTCTTAGGGTTCAGTCTAAGATGATTGTCCATGTGGTTGTAGGGGTGCATGAAGCCCACCCCCCCATTGTCTACTCTGTCCCCAGTCAGTGGTTTCTCTTCAGGGGACTGTCTTGGGCCATTTTCTCTATTCTGGTTGAATTCCTGGGAGTCCTCACTTAAGTTGGAATCTGGTCCATTTCTTAACAATTCCTCCTCCTCTTCTTCTTCCTCTTCTTCCTCTTCCTCCTCCTCCTCCTCATCTTCATTCTCCAACTCCATTGCCCGTGCATTTCCTTCCCTACTTTTGTCCTCACCTTCTCCTCCCTCTCCTCTACTTCCCTGTTCTGGAGAGTCGGTCATGTTCCCAGACTTGTTGTGCATATGTGTTTTCATGTGCCTTTTGAGTTTGCTGGCCTGGGAGCAGGCATGATCACACAGGTGGCATTTGTATGGCCTCTCTCCAGTATGACTGCGTCTGTGGACAATCAGGTTGCTCTGGAACTTGAAAACCTTGCCACAGAACTCACAGGATTTGGCTTTACCTAGGGCCTGATTCTGGCCCTGAGTGTCTGGAGGGCTGGTAGAGCCATGTCCCCCCTGAGATATTGGTGGCTGCGGGGTATAGGTGAGAAATGTTGGGGGCTTGGCCCCAGGCTGGAAAAGTGTTGGACTCAACAGACGGTGCATGGGTGGCACACGGTTGGGAGAGAGAGGAGGTGTGGGGCCACCGTTATTTGTTGGGTTGCCTGCTAGTTCTCTCAGTCGACGGGAGAAGTCCATGGAAGGAGGCTCCATGGGGGTCATCCTCATTACCCTCTCAAAAGCACTGGGGTGCTGTGACAGCAGCCCCATTTCCTCTGGGCCCAGACGCTCTAGAGGTGGTCTAGGAGGAGGTGGGGGACTGACAAAGGGTGGTGTCGCAGGCAGCCGGGTCTCCATGTACCCTGGAGGATGGGGGTGTTCCCTGAGCAAGGGTGCAGCCATTCGGAGGAGGTGAAATGGGTTGTTGGTGTCACCGAGGAAAGTGGGAAGAGGGGAGCGGGGCAGTGCATCAACTCCCGGGGGAGGAGGCAGTGCCATGCGGGGAGTGAGGGAGCAGTTGGCTAGGTGGTTGTCAAGGTAGATGCGGATGCCATGAATGTTCTGGGCATGTTGAAGCAGGAACCAAGCGCTGGTGAAGGTTTGCTTGCAGGTTGTACATATGTAGCTGGACGGCTCATCTTTATCTGTGGGATGACAGAAACAAAACCATGGTAAATTCAAGCAGCCAATTAAAACACTGCATTTTTCATTCAATAACCAATTCTAATGTAAAATGAGTTTTGCTGTAAATGTTTGTGGTGTTTAGAAAATGATTGTTGCACTTAAATCCCAGAGTTTGATTGTCTTTCTGTTATTGTGTCATGAAGCTTCATAAGACGGTGTGTGTCTATAGGCTAATAAAGGTGGCAGGTATTGCCCTTAGGCCATGGCACATTATGCAAATTCTAATGTCTGCTAGGCTTTAATATACAGATTCATCTCGTCAATGCTGTCATTTCCATATGGTGGCAGGAGGGCGAACAGTGGGTTAAAAAAACGAGATAATGAAGAAGGGGCGGGTGCTGGAGAAGTGGCATCAGACACTGAGAGAAAGTAGACATGATAAAAGTGACTGAGACAATGAGTAAACAACAAAGACTCCTGTGTTGTTTTTAACGGGATCTACATTAAATAAATCTTTGCGTCACTGGTGTAGTAACATGTATAGTAAAAGAATCTCGCTGACAAATTACCCCTTTAAATGGTGTGACTTAATAACGGCAAATGAATCTATCAGTCACTGTGGCGTGGCCCTGTCAGCCTGCTTTTGACTCATAAAAAAGAGCCTTGGTAGAGGTTTGCCTAATTCAACGCAGGCTTGCCCTGAAGAGGTATTTCCGCAGTCTTGTGTTTGCTTGTGAGGCATCTGCATCTACTTTATGATCAGCGGCTACCGCAAGTGGAGTCAAGTTGGTACAGTGGTCCCAAAGCTCAAAGCCTGGAGGGCCAACACAGAGCTGGGGAAATAAAGCTTGCCCAGAGTTTTATGTGATCAAGAAAAAAAGTTCCTATTAAGATGGCTGACTGCCTCAAAGCCACTCTTTGTTATGGATTGTAAAACACACATGCAGACACTGATATGGGCTCAGGAACATTTTCTTTACTCGCTCCCTCACGGTACACAACCCTATACTCAGAGATCCACACACACGCTCTCTTGTACTGAAGAGAACAGATGAGCGAAAGCTGATGCTGGATCAGTGTCTAGTACAGGAAGCTGATTTGGCGCCGTGATTGGTTTGGCTTTCCTCTGGGGAGAAAGGGTCAGAGAAAGTTAATGAGGGGCTCATTTACTGATTCAGTCAGTTTTTCTCCGCTATTAGTGGCGCTCTGGTGTAGCCGTCACTTTCACCATTTGTGTGGGTTGGGACACGACTTAACTCTCGCCGCTAATATGTGCGCAAGAGCCCTCGCTCACACGCACGAGTGTGTGCGCAAACGTGTATATGGATATGTGCATGCGTGCGTGGGGCGAGTGGCGGGCTGCCTGCTCGTGTTTAGTTTGGCTGAGTTTCACACGGCCGCTTGGCAGCAGAGAGCTGGACAGCTTAACAGCTTGGACGGGGAGAAGAGAGCCAGACAGAGAAGGGAAGAGGAGGAGAGGGGTAAGAAGAGAGGTGGAGGGACTTTAAGGGCCTGACGAGCTCGGGCGCACACGCCTGCACACCAACACACGCCGAGGCTATTTGCATGCCCACCAGGGACCAAGGTACGTCTACAGACATTAGAGCTGTAGATCTAAAAATAATTAACATGAAGCAAAAATATTTGAGGAAAAAAATATTCTGAATCGATTTTTTCAAACTCCACTCTTTTTAATTTGTTATTTTTGTCTGCATGTTTGTGAACGTATTACTTTTAAGAATCACTGGACAGATTTTGATGAAACTGAAAATAATTATTGGATGCACATTTAAAACTTGTTTTTTTTTTTTAAGTCCACTCAGTTTAATAGGGCTGCCACAGCTAAGTGAACTTAGCAAACACCAAAATGGCTTGAAGTCTGACATTTATACAAATACTGAGCAGAAATCCAGTGTAGTTGCAGCTGAGAATAATTTCCATCTTATTCTGAGCACCGGCAGATTTTGCAAAACACAAACTATTGCCTAAAAGACAGCAGGCAAAATGCATTCCTTCAGCAAAGCCTACTTTCATTTTGTGTGTGTGTACAGCCCAGCCATCAATCTAAGTAATCCAATCCTGTACCTTCATCCCTACAACCTTCCGGGGCCCCCACCCCACCACCACCACAACAGCAACAACACATTTGCATCATGTCATATCTCACACAGGCGCACCATATGCTGGTAAAGGAAGCGTGGCAGCTAATAGAGTGGCAGCTGATGGTGGCTGCTTAATGACGGCCAAAGACAAATTTCATCAACTTCCCAAACAAGCAAGCAAGAAGAAAACAAAGGGAGGAAAGGATGACAGAGCATGGATGGGTGGATGGATGGATAGATAGATATAGATAGTAGGCAGGCAGATAGATGGATGGATGGATGCTGAGAAAGTGTTGCTGCTCAGTGTTCAGAGCAGTTAAAGCTTTCATTAAAGGCTCACAGTGGGCGATGTCATGCTTCACTTTGTGGTAATTACAGCTGTCTCTCTGACACGCAGTCACATGACCCTTCCTCTGCTGACCACCAAGGTCAACTACCAGTTACATCAGCTACAGCGTCCTCTCCACGCAGTCACTGATGCTGGACCTAATCAGCCAATTTACTCTGCCAACGCACACCGCCACACACAGACGTGAGTGTGTGTGTGTATATAAATGAGACAGGGATGAGAGGTTAAGTGAAATAGAGTCACAGCGGGTTTTGGTAATAATGGTACACTGCATTTAGCTGCTTTTTGTCATTTTGCCAGCAATTTGGGAACACTTTGGCGTAATGGAATTCACCTAAAAACAGCAAAAAAGGGACTGTCTGTTAGGTTTCCACCCAGGTGTTCACGCTGGCAGATTTTCCCATGAAACCAGGGAGCACAACACAGATCTGAAACCAGCTCAGGAGGGCAGCTCTTTGTCCTGCACAATGAAAACAAGGGCTAAGGGCCAGGAGGCCTGGAGGAAGTTATTAAAGCCTTGGCACATGCACGGAGCTGAGGTGGGCCAGTAATAATGCTTTTCCTCTCTCCTGCACTGTTTTATTTTTTTGTTGCCTTTTTACTAAACCACCGGGCCAATTAACCCAGTCTTCAGGGAATGAGATCTGAGCTTTACATCAGATTTTATTCCTTCCAGATTGGCTTTTATAGCCATCATTTTGGCTTAAAAAGTACAAACAAAATGCCAGTGAATGAAGGGGAGCCATGGTATTGACTGTTTGCATATGGCCAGTGAAGCTGAAGTGGTGTGGGGCCGGTAGGCGTGATGCAGGCTAATCATCTGGTGTAGACATTGATTTTTAATTTAGGAATTTACAGCTTCCAGACAGATTCTGGTTTATATTGAAAGCGTGTCGCACCATTTAAGTTTACCCTCATTCTTATCGGATGCTCTAAAGTTAAGATGGGACCATAGACAAAAAAGGAAACTTTATCTACAGGCTTGGTGTTTAAAAAAAGTGAACATCTCAGCTAGCAGTGAGAGGACCATAATGACTGTTCAGTGATGCCAGGTTACGTCTCACAAAAGCCCAGTGAAAAATAGAGCTCGAATAAAATCAAACGACATTGAGTTGGTTTGGTGAGCTGTAAAACTGACAAATACTGCTCAGAATGCTGCTGAAGAGCAAAAGGAAGGTGTGTTTTTTACCTGAAAAACCTTTGGAGTTAACCATTTCAAGATGATTGCCACAGATATTTGATCTCATCTAACTCAGTCCAACTCCGTCCTCCAGGGGCTGGAGTTGAGCTATATACTCTTTTTGCAACGCATCCGTCACAGACTTGTTTTGTTCTATGTTTGTGTGCATTGTCTCTATCAAATAAACCAACAATAATAATTCAAAAAGGCCGAAACTCAGTCAGTTTTACAGATATTGAGCTAAAATTTGCCAAGTCGTCTCCAGCGCATACAGATTGTTTCACAAAGTTAAATGTAAAACTTTTTAACTTTTAAAGACGTTTACGACTCAAATTTTTAGACTGACACAAATGACAATAAAAGTTGATTTTTTTTTTCAGTGTATAGCACTTTTGTTTTGCCTTTTATTTAAATTCAATTCAGATCATTCAAAAATGATTAACAGCACGTACAAAGCAAAAGAAAAAAAACGTTGAATAATCATCCGTGCTTAAGTCGTAACTAAATGTGTTTTTAGACCTAAACTGGAAATTCTGAACATATTCAAGACTGAGGCCTAAAGTTAGGATCATTAAATTTATAACTTTTATTACGTTGCAAGACCCCCCAACATCTGAGCGCTACACATCATCGCTTAAAACATTCTCGGTAACCGTTAGATAGATCTTCTCAAAGTCCAAAGCTATGTTAATTGACCATCTGAACTGTATTTCACTTTAAAATCAACATTCAAAGCTGTCTGTTTATTGTATGTTTAGGATAATGACTATATTCAAATTAAACGTTACAGAAATGATGTTCTACTCAACCAAGTGTTTGTGTCTTTCAGTGTAAATGATGATTTCACTCCCACAAAGAACTCTTTTTTTTTTTATTCATTTTATGAAACTCATTAATTGTTTAATTTATTAATTTTTATGTCTTAAAGACAAAAAAAAAACTTAGATGACCCTTTATTTTCTTCTTTGAAACTCAGACAGGACTGATGTTTTGGTTTTTGGACCTGAGCATCTTAGGAATTAATTTTTCAGTCTTTCTCCCTCCTTAGATGACATTAATCTGGTCTCCAGCTCTAATGTTAAAAATCTTGGTGTTGTTTATGATCAGGACATGTCTTTTAACCCCCACATTAAAAATGTTACCAAACCTACGTTCCTCCACCTGCGTATTATCACTAAAATTAAAACATCTTGTCCGAAAATGATGCAGAAAAACTGGTTCATGCATTTGTCACGTCTTGACTGGACTATTGCAATGGTTTATTATCTGGGTGTCCAAATACTTCTTTAAAACCTCTTCCGTTGATCCAAAATGCTGCTACCAGAATCTTGACTGGAGTTAGTGGGAGAGATCATATTTCTCCAGTTTTAGCTTCTCTCCATTGGCTCC